GAGGTAGTTGACTTATCATTCAATCTGTGACCCAGAAGCCATTATAAGTTTAGGGATATATTGAGATATATTGACGATAACTTTATGGTTCTGACAATTCTGACTAGTCTACAATTAGTGATCAAAGCTTCGACTTAGATATAGTATAAATATAAGTAAGTGGTTTAGTTTAGTATTTCCCGTTAATCAGCCCCTTCTTTCACTGGCACATTCGAGCAAATAATCTATATAAAGCTGTCGGTTCATGGTCCTGGGCTCCCAAGGGGGAAAAGGCTTAGATTTGTCTATAAGACTATCTCGAGGGTTCAATCTTGGTTAGGATATGTCTCAATGGTCTTTGGAAGCAATCAAAAGAAAGAAAATATGATTGTGTAGTGAAGAAATCCTACATGAATTGTGATACTAGTAAACAAATAGAAAAAATATATAATTATTTATATAATGATTTAAAGTGATTATAAACAAGTCCGAAGCCAACGAGTTCTCCTATAATAAAGTAAAGAGTGTTTTAGTATAGTTGCAGTAATATTAATTATCTACTTTTCTAGTTATGAAAACACTAAAGTAATGCGGCAACCTTTCCCTTTATATCTCTCTTCTCACTCAAAACCCCAAATCTTTGAGAATTCCTAAGCCTTGGAACCAAATCACGCCTTGTCCCCAATTCTGAATTCTTCGGCACTGTTACCTTACGCACCAGGCATACCAGCCGCCAAGTTTTGATACGCACTCGCACTGTAAGTCAACAAATTTTGACTGGTGTCCAATGTGGGGAAAGTTTCCGCCGTCGTACCAATAAGACTTCCACCATCTTTCCTATCCGCACTAGCTTCCCAAAACATCGCACCTCCCAGTCCATGATCAATGATGTATTTCGCCTTGGTTTGGGTTGATTCGACGTTATCATAACTGACAAGTACTTGTCTGATACTATCGTAACTGTAGGCCCCCACTACATCGGAGCTAAAGTGTTCTGTAGCTCCAGCTTTTGGAAGCTGATTGTAGTCCCAGACTCCTTTATCCCATTGTCCGGCACCGATTCCGCTGTATGGTAATCCAAAACCAGCCGTGTTCCCAAATTCTCGCCCATAAAGTGGCAACCCCATGATTATCTTAGAGGCACTGATTCCCTTGGCGATGTAGTCTGTAATGGCTCTTTGTGTTGAGTATGGAGTACTTGGGGCATTGTACACACTCGGATATAAGTTCGCCTGGTGTCCTGCTATATTATCCCACGACCCAGCATAGTCGTAAGCCATCAAGTTCCATGAATCAACATACGCATCCATATCTGCCAGATGAAGGATGTTGTAAACCTTTGGGCCAGCAGGACATGCGACTGTAATGAGAAAGTGGTAACCCTGAGCGTAACGAGCAGAATATGCATCAAGCGCTGACCGAACAGCTTGTAGTAAAAGCACAAAATTGCGAGCCTCAACGTCATTGGCGGGGTATTCCCAATCAATATCAATACCATCAAATCCAAGGTCTTGAACAAATTGCACAGCTGTTGCGGCAAACCGTGCACGGGTTGTATCTGTACTGGCGGCGGCAGGGAAGTTTGAGGACCAAGTCCAGCCACCGATGCTAAGAAGAGTTTTCATTTGACGATTGTGTTTCTTCAGTATGTATAGTTGTTTGATGCACCCATAGACATTGTTTCCGATGTCATTCCAGGAGTCCGTGGGATAACGTCGGTCTAAGTCGGCCCATGTGTCAGAAAGATAGCTGGGTATATGTTAGCCGGGATTTCGAAAAGATGATTATGAATGAAGGTGCTGGACATACACTGAACCATCCGTTCGAAGGTTAGCAAAGCTGTAGAGGACGCGGGTCAGCTGAGACGCGGGCAGATTTTGAGGTTCATATTTTCGATCATAGATTGCCCTACAGTAAAGACATTAGGGCTTATTTTCAAGCAGATAACACATGGGACAAGCAAGGATACACACCAGTTCACATAGTAAGCCGTGTTTTGGTAACCCCCGGTTTGTTGTACGGCGCGGGTTGAAAAGTTACTTCCAATTGCAGCTGCTGCTGAAAATGAAATGTGTAGGCATGTCGAAGCCAACAACAGGCGCTTGAAGAGAAGCATGATTCTGTGAAAAATTGAATAAGAGTGAAGATGAATAAAAATTGTTTGAGAAGATCAATGAAAATATGGTTGGGGGTGAAGATAGTCTTTTATAAAGGTGGAAGAGAAGAGTGGAAGCTAATCTAGTGAATAAGACACACCATCTTCAACTATTGCGTAAAGAAAGGTAGTCTAGTTGATAGTACATAAGGACTAACCTCAGATGGGCAATACTATGGCACTTCCAACGTCGTTTTTTGGTAGTCATTTGAGAAATCTTGATTGAAGAGATGGGCGATCTAGTTGTTAGTGCACAAGAACTAACCTAGATAAGCGATACCATGACACTTCTAGTACCTTTGGTCTTGAAACCTTTTATCATGATGATATTGACAGATTTACGTTACCACTCAATTTCGGTTTCTTGACTGTATAATGGTAGTGACTGAAAAGTATCCCCACACTCCCCTTTAAACTACACAAACGGCTTGCTGATCAAAACAACCTGCACATCGCGACTTCCGCGTAATAATATTGTTGAACGGACACTGAATTAAGCAAGCATTATTGGATTGGAAATATTGAATGAAACCTTGAGAGCATATGTGAAGCTCAAATGTAACCATATTCTCTGTGGTTGATCACGGATATTACTTACTGCCTATCACCAGGGAAGAATTCGGCGTTATATAATACGAACCAAGAAATGAAGATGAAGATGAAGGTGGAGCGCGTGTAGTCGCAGCATACAATAGGCTTTCGAAATTTGTGCATTTGATCTTCTAGTAAGAAGTTCATGGTAGCTTAGCTGACCGAATAGGGCAAGTCAGAAGGTAAATGATATTATATTACATAGATAACTCTAGATCTATATTCAATTGTCCATCAACTTCAAGCCATCTGGAGATAATGTATCGATAATATAGTAACGTTACAATAGGGTCTCCTGAACATAGGGAAAATATCATTCCATTGTAATTGCGATAAGAAGATCTATCCATCTACCCGGCACGTGGATGGGATGCAACCCTAAGGTGGTCACAGATTGATACCACAATTCTTGGCAACTCCATAGGATACCTCAGCTTGACTACCTTTACAATTTATTTCAATGTCGCGCAAAGGAGTTTCATATAGGACCTTGATACTGACGAAGTGATAGAAAAATTGATCGAAGGTTCAAGCAGGGCTTTCGAATCTTTTGAACAGTAGCCCAACAAAAGAGATCATTTAATGTGTTTGCCACTAGGAATGCATTTATATTTTTCAATCTCCACTTCGTTTATATTGAGTTTTTCGAAAAATCTTATTTCAATGATATTGAAAGCTTTCGAATAGGGACTGACTGATTGGGCTTGACTTGGGGATCTGAAAAACTGAAAAGTATCGTACTGCTGAGGGACAGAGTGAAAATAATCAAAGAAATACCATAGGGCTCGATACATAAACGTACTTACTCCCATGAAATTGCGAGATAAAAGCAATATTGTACAGGTATGAGTTAAAAGGGCAAATATAAGAGTATAGATGGGATTATGAAGAGCCAGCGACTTCGCCGACAGCTATTGGGGCGCCGTCTAGTCTAAATTATCGCGAGACAAGAAGTTTAGAGCTATATGGTAAACTATTGTGTCCTTCACAATCAAGACGTGGTATTCATTGTTGTCAACTCAGACAATAAAATCTTCAACTTTCGCGTCGATGTATGCTCAATAAATCATCAAGCGGACTTAAGAGCAAGTAAAAGAATTTGATCACAAGGTAGAAAATCGTCAATTCGAGGCGTCGCGCATGTTTGGTATGTGATAAGTGGGAAACACGATTGTATCGCAGTAAATAGGTTGAAGATTACTGGTGGATGCCTCGGAGTACCTTCGTCCGATAACGAGGTCGTCCAATATTGAATTCTTCTGACATTTTAAACAGAGAGTTGTCGGCATACCTATGGTTATTGTTTTGAGTAAGCGTCAAAAGAATTCAATATACGTTGCAGATATTCCCTGGTTTCCTACAAACGATGCATGGCACTTGCTGTAACCGAATTTGTTTATAGGCTCTCAGAGGATATTTCGACCCCAACAATGTGAGACAACCCCCGTGACTAGAGCGACGTTCGATATTCAGAGTCAAACCCAGGATCCATAATTCCCTGATATGAGCTGTAGACCGGCTTTTGATCAGGGAAGCCTCGCCAGAGTAGCATTGAGTAGTTGAAGAATTCAAGGTTTGAGCATAACGAAAAGCGCCTTGGAGATCAAGAACAGTAGGGCCTGTACATTGATTACTGACCGCAGAAGATACCACTAAGATCAATATAGAGGTAACGATATCCTATTTTCCCTTTCATCGAATTCCCGGATATTTATGTGTTTGGATATGGCGACCCCTCTACAGTCAGTCAGTCCTGACACGAGAAAAGAAAACCAAGGAATATCAAAAGTACCTCAACAAGTTCAAGAATGGCTAAACGAAGCAGGCGTAAGTTTTCCAATCCGGACTTAAGTCTTTTCGGATAAAGCTGAAAGGTCAGTTCCAATCACTTCACGAACAAAGAACGGTGGAATTGAGAGTGATAGGGAGGATACCCGATTATGCAGCAGGAACACTATACAGGATGGGACCAGCCAGCTATAAGATTGAACGTAGTCCACAAAAGGACTTTGAAGTATCACATTGGTTTGATGGCTTTGGAGAGACGCACCGATTCCAGATAATCGTAAATAATGGCGGAAAACCTAAAGTTATCTATACTTCTCGCCATCAGGATGACGAACTGACGAACACCATCCGCCAATCCGGAACTTATTCTTTCATAACATTCGCCCAGAAGAGAGACCCATGCATTGGCATTTTTGGAAAGGTCATGAGCTTCTTTGAACGGATATTGACTAAGCCTTTTGCCAATAATGTGAATGTCGCTATATATCCAAATATGCGTATCAAATCAAACCAAAGAGGTGTTTTGAGGGGTACCCCTAAACATTCGAGTGGGGTCGACAGCTTGTGGTTGACGACCGATTGCTCTATTTTGAAAGAGTTGGACCCTCTAACTTTAGAACCAATTGGTGTGGAATATCAGACTGCCCTTCATCCATTATTATCGGGACCACTGTCCTGTGCTCATGCCATGTCAGACCCGATTACTGGCGATGTGTACAATTACAATTTGAATTTTGGTCGATTTGCAACGTATCGTGTGTTCCGAGTTTCGGCTTCGTCGGGCGAGACCGAAAGTTTAGCCGCAATAGCTGGTGCTGGCGTCGAGCCTGCGTACTTGCATTCGTTTTTCATCACTGCCGATTTTGTGATTCTCTGCGTATGGGGAGCTCGTCTTGACCACTGTGGATTCAACATCTTCCTCGGGTGGAATGTCTTGGATGCGATTAATCCATTTGATCCTTCCAAACCAGTAAGGTGGTTCGTGATAGATCGAAAAGCTGGTCGCGGTGTCGTAGCAGAGTTCCAAAGTCCAGCAGCATTTTGTTTCCATACCGTTAACGCATGGCAAACCGTGAACGCCGAAGGACAAATAGATATAGTCTGCGAGTACCTTGAATACCAAAATCTGGATATTCTGTACGAATTCTATTATTATGAAATCGTATCAACATCAAAGCAAGCCGTTAGCCGAAAAGGAATTGATTCTCATGCGGCGTTGACGAAATATTGTCTGTCAAACATTAGAGGAAAGATTTTAGACCGCAAGGTAGGCGACGAGATACCACATGCAAAGCTTGTGTTGCAGATACCAAGGGCTGGGGAATTACCAACCATAAATCCTAATTTCAGCATGAGAGAAAGCAAATTTTTGTACACAGTCGTCAATCGAGGATACTCAACATTCATGGATGGTATCTTAAAGGTAGACACGATGAACAGCACAACCATCATACTGGGAGAATCCGGTTGGTCGTACTCCTGGGGAGGCAATCTTCATCCCTGACCCTGAAGGCATTGAGGAGGATGATGGGGTCCTACTTAGTGTTGTCCTAGATGGATATAAAGGGACAAGCTATCTGCTTTGCTTAGATGCCAAAACGATGCGAGAACTTGGGAAGGCAGAATGTGATTGGGCAGTTGGGTTCGGAGCACATGGATCTCATGGGTAATCTTAAACAGTAGTGTACTGAGACCTATGTAAAGACCACCAGGTGAATGTGTAGCATGTTTTGTCTCTTTCGTGTCCTAATGGCACGGTATATTTATTATTGATCGAGGTGTCTTCTCCAGATGATAATGAGTGATAAAATGTTTCATATTCTGGGGTGGGTATCATGTGCTATTCTTCCTTGCCAAACTTCGCTTTTCCCGCTATTCGAGCCAGTATCCTTTGGACAATCACTAAAATTCGTAGTCTGACAGCTTTGATATCCCATTGTTCAGCCTCATCCGCAGCAACAAATCTCCTGACTAGAAGATTGAAAATACTACCAAATGCTAAGGCCATTACTGTACTAGTAAGAATTATGACATTGTAAGGCATGCTGAAATCCGGTGTTGGAAGTGGAAGTAAAAGACTCGTAGTTCGGATGCTAACATTTCCAATCGTAATAATGGCCGGGGCAACATCAAATCCACGGTTCGCGTCGGGAGGGTACTCTGTATACCGAAGAATAGCCTTTTCGAAGTCATATGTCAAGATAACTGTAGAATTTGCCAGAACACGCATGCGCACCTCCAACTGGGTCCCCCTCTTGCGATCCAGAGCTGGACGATAAAACATTTCTTGTATGACATCTTCATCTAGACCATTGGTCTTGGCCTTCAAAGTGTGAAGATACACTTTCATGAACCAAGGGAGAGATTCCATGTATACGAAATCAACTGCATCTGTTGGCGAAGGGTTGGTCAGAATGGCTTGCACACCACCCCGTTCCTGCCCATATCCAATGAATGAGCGTTCTGCATAGAGAAGGGGCTGTTCCAACGGCGTCTTCTCGTGAATATCTTGTCGCGGCAATACCATCTCGAAGTCACTGTCTTGTTGTAATCGGAAACATCGATTGTATCCAGAAGAATCTTTGTGTTCAACCGCTCCACCGGAAATGAACACATTACGGGCGTGAGGAACATTGATGCATACTGAGTCTTCAATATCATCAGCTAGCGCACAAGATCCTTTCAATGAATGACCGAAGATTTGCGATAAACTCCAATCCTCCTCTTCTGCAGCATTGTCGCGAGGGAAACATGTGTCTTCAGCATTATATGGTTTGGAGGTATCACATTTTAAATCTTCGAATGGCACAGGTCGTGGGATTGGATTATCTGCGTCACAGTTAGCATCGAAATTATGCTAGGTCCCTAATTACAAACCTCTCGGGCGTCTGGATCTTTGGATATCTAAGACCATATCAATGGTTTGCGTAATCTGAAGCTGGCAGGCATTCGAATCATTTGAATCATTTGGACATATAGGTTGTACATCGATTGACATGCTCTGCCACGATGCATCGAATAATTTGTGTCCATCTAGTAAGCTTGAAATACCGGCTTTTCCTTTACAAGGCAAGAGTTTCAAGAATGGTGTCAAATTTTCTGTACAGACAACTTCTCGTGGCAAAGTTCCATGGAGCAAGTGTAGGTTTGACAGTGTAGAGTCTGAGTGGTCGCCGACGGGCTGAAATGATAATACTGGTCTCGTTGTCCTCGTGGAATCGATAAAGTTGAGGGAGGCGCAGAAGAGGCCAGACAGTGCATTGGTTAAAGTCAACCAGCGACCATCAGCCCTAGATAGTGTCAGTTGAATTTCCTTTCTTTTTTTTTGTAGATGCTAATCTCACTCTTCATCTGTGCCAGCTTCAACCCAAGCCCAAAGTTCCACACCTGTGCCGCCTTCCCTTGTACCACCCCATGGCCTTGCCCCCCAATTTTCAGCATCCCATCTACCGAGACTAAATCTCAAATGTAATTCTCTTGTGTTTGAATACTGAAGGATTTGCCCTAGTGACCTTGGGAAATAGCGGAAATTCTGCTTTTCAAATGATTCGAGGCTGGTGTTGCCTTGAAAGTTAAAGGAAGCAAGTAAAGATGAAGGATGAAGGGGTCTTAGATGAAGTTGCTCATGGTAGTCTGAGGATGCGATTGCTCCCGTTGATAATAGACCAAAAATAAGGAACAAAATGCAGTAGATTTGAGCCATGGCATTTAGCGCCATTTTGTCAAGAAACTCCTCATTCAGTTGTACGGAGGAAGAGATCCAGTACTTTTGAATCCGGGGTAACGATTCCCTGAATAGGATGGGCTAGCGTGCAGCCTTGTCGCGGCTCTTTCCATTTGCCGCGCCGCGCCGCGCCTTGTCTCAAGCTTTTTCTATCAATCCAAAGATAGAACTACAACGACTCCTGTTTTACACCTCGAAATATGGCAGCAGAACAGAGAAAGCTCCTTGGTAAGTGATTGTTGTAATTTCTCTTATGTAATATTTGAGCTTCCTTTGATACAGCCGCAATTCTGTTACGGGCGTAGAAACTCACTATTTACTAACCTATCTTCTCAAACAGAGCAGCTTATGGGCGCTGGAGCATCCTCTCGCGCAGCTCAGCTTTCAATCACGGATCCAAAGATTTGTCGATCTTTTCTTGTCGGTACTTGTCCCCACGACCTCTTCACAAATACAAAGCAGGATTTAGGGCCGTGTCCAAAGATCCATTCGGAACCTTTAAAGACAGAATATGAGACTGCAGCCCCTCCTCAAAAGCAGAAATGGGGCTTCGAATATGATTACATGCGCGATTTACAAAAGTATATCGATGAATGCAATAGGAGGATAGATGTCGCACAACGACGCCTGGAGAAGACACCCGATGAAATTCGACAAACAAACGCCCTTCTCAAACAAATATCCGATCTCTCAAAGTCCATTGAGACCGGGTTGTTGGAGATCCAAATTTTAGGAGAGCAAGCGGAGGTATCTCGCGCTTATGAAGAATTCTTCCGTATACGGCAAGCTATGCAGACGAAAGTGGAGAAGGAAAAAGAATTAAAGGCACTATCAGATACGAGCGGACCTTCAGGACATCAAAAATTGCAAGTTTGTGATGTCTGCGGAGCTTACTTAAGTCGATTGGATAATGATCGAAGGTTGGCGGATCATTTTTACGGAAAAATGCACCTTGGTTACGCACAAATGAGGAAGACATACGATGCATTTCCGAAGGAGATGAGGAGATCAAGACCTATGCAAGATGATACTGATCATAACTCGGCGCCAAGAGGATATGATGGAGGTTATGGCGATGGTGGATACGGTGGTAGGGGGGGTGGTGGATATGGAGGACGTGGTGGAGGAAGAGGTGGCTTTAGAGGTAGGGGCAGAGGCCGGTGGTAATGAGAGAAATCTCGAGGCGTTCACTGGCGTTTTGGGTCGGCGAATATACAATGTACAACCACGATCAATGGGGTTACTTTCCGGAAATCTCCCTACCTTACGAGTCCTTTCGACCATATATTAGCTACTCGGTACACCTAATCGAATTACTTTAATGCCCACAATGGAGATTCACTCGTCCAGAGAAACTGAAATAAGTTTATGACCTCAGCTGAGTAAATATCATCTTCAAGAGTTCATGTGAGGATTTTGCCTTCTAGGCTGTTCGTTTTGGGTGAAGACTGGTGGCCTTTGCAAGTGCAAAATTATTTTAGGATATATTATACCCCCCCTACCTTCGATATGTTCGTCGTGGGGGTCTGAAAATACTTGACGGGGCTTGATTCGTCAACATCACCACGGGATTCTAACGAGTTGATTGATCACCTTGAAACCTGAATGCATATGACAAAACAGGATTTCAACAATTAGATCACAAGGCAAATAGGACACGAACAAACTACGTCATATTGCCCATTATGAGTTCATTAATCGGATATTAACTCATACATACGACAATTCAGATGTTTTTCGCCATCTGAAAACAATTTGCTACCTTTTTCTCAGACACAGATCATACAGTACTTTCGATTCCACAACGCGAAGACCCAGATACCATAAGAGTTGACTACTGTCATATAAAGATAATATCATGGAATCCATAAAGAATGCTACAGGCATGTTCGTCCCCGAGCACACCGATGAACAGAAGCAAAAGATTTATGACAATCTTTCCGACGACCAAAAGCAAAAGCAAACGTATACAGAATGGGTGAAGGAGGCATATAACGAACAATACGAAAAATGGATGCCGTGGATTGAAGATCAATATTTGAAATGGTTCGGGAAAGGAGATAACAAGGCATCATATGCGACCAAAGGTTAGTCAAACCAAACTTATAGATTTGCAGATCTCAATCTAAATCAAAAATGTAGATGCCCTTAGCAAAACCAAAGTCACCGGTGTCTCACAGATCGACCAAATACAAGACGATGTCCATAACCTTATTGGTAATCAATTCGGAGAGAATGGTCTCCTAGCTCCAATCGGAAATCTGGCTGGAAAAGAAGGTATAAACAGAATGGAGCGAAATGGAAAGGATGAAGATGGTTCATACGGTGGTCCCACGTCAACCTTCAGCGATTCAATTATCAATAATGCAAAGGGTACTGGACAAGGAGTTTTGCGGGGCGCACAGAGTGCTGGTTCTTCCCTGGCAAGTGGTGCAAAAAGTGCAGGTGGATTCGCTGGAGGAATGTTTGGTGGGCAGAAGGAAGAGTCAAAGGGAGAACAGTAAACTTGAATTGACACCTTTGAGTATCGGACACTTGAATTCACGATGGGATGATGAGGAGTTTCCGAAGTCACGATGAAATGATGAGGTATGAGGTATGAGGTATGAGGTTTTGGAACTCGGTTGAAGGTCATTTTGGTTTTATTACTGTTTTCAGACGTCTTTTTACCCAGTCTACATATGATATTTTGTATCAGGCGCAAATAGGTTTTGTAGAAGGGACAACAGCCGAGTTGCTGGGGTTTGTCTGAGTACAACCATCAATTCCACCAGTAAGATAGTCATCTTCCGCGGCAGTAAATGCCGAACCGCAATTGGAATCACTACGTTTTGTTCAGTAAGTGGCGATGAATATACACGAGCATATGGAAGAACATACCTTGCCCCGCCGGAGGCATTGTTGAAGTATGAACATATATCGTGGTTCCAACAATCTTGTGTGCTGCAAGTTGTTTTTATTAGCGTTGATCCTCACTCTCACAGTCGCGACCCTAATCCATGATTCAACTTACTAGTAATTGCCAAGAGCAGTTCCAGTACACCCTGCGCCACATCGTCCATTACAGCTATATCTATTCAGATCTATCAGTATGTCGCATACATACTATAGATTTATATAGTCAAAAGCTCACTCTCCAGCAGTGTTCGTTCCAAAGTTACCCCCAACAGTCCCTGTCCATGTACAAGTCTTTGCAGCCGAGTTGGTCCATGTAGCTTTTGCCGTTGCTCCAACTTTTACACAAGTTACGGATGCTTGGGCCAGAGTGACCATAACTAAAGTGAGGAGGGGGGTGTATGAAGCAAGCATTTTGAAATTGATCGAATGCTAACGGAGTTGGCTTTGTCAATATTAAAAGAGAATTGTTGATGTGGTCGTCCTTTAAGTACCATCAATTCTTAGAGTAGTTTAAAGTTTCGTTTATTAATTAAAATTCTCAATCTACAATATGGACCTACAGTGGAGCAGAAAGGAAATACCAAAGTCTCATCAATCCCCCAGACTTCAACCGGAAGAAGCAACTCTGCAAAATGAGGGAAAACGGGAAACGACAGATATGTTTGTTGCATACGTTTACGCTCCGGATCAAACTTCTTGAATAAACTATAATGCCGATGAACGAAGCTTTCTCGCCAATAGGAGGCCTATAGGCCATGGAATGTCGAATATGCCGATGTTGATGATGTGCTTCCATTGTGGGGTACATCTCCAAGAAATACCTCGGTGGATTGTAGAATGAGACTTTCCCATGAATGGGGGAAAAAAACATAATCAAAAGAAGATATCCGAGACATATCGGAAGGTGAAGGTAGTTCGAGGAGATCAATCTAAACCGCTTTGGGGACCGATACCGGTACCTGGCTATTTGAATGTATTAGTACCACTCGGTACACCATACCATATGAACCTAGGCTCACGTGATAACCTACCTACCTGATCATTTTCATTTTCTCTAGGAGCTTAATTTGGGCCCATGGTTTGCTTGAATCGGTTCCCAGAGAATATAAGTGCCACTGGTAGGGAGCCACTTTTGAACCCGCGAGCCTCCAACTCTTAAACGAAGGGTTTAATTGCATAATGTAGGGCCTGAATCGGATTCTTTCAATGGTAGGTAGGTGACCAGTTGGAATTCTCAATTCTGAAATTAGACCGAGCTATGTAATGATCTCACCGACTCGAGAAAAGGCGTTCGTCTTCCTCAACTTCCTTTTAGCCGAATCGATCTTCTGTCCAGCAAATATCAGCACATAAGTCGCCAAGATATCCAGATCGCCTAGCTAATTATTACGTGAAGATACTGTACTGTATAAAACAACATGACTTTGTGAAATTAAAATTTTATCGTTGCTACTTTGACTGAGCAAATTGTACAGATGTAGGAGAATTATCCAGGTTCTGAAATTTTTGAGGAGAGATTAATGTCTCCTGCTCTAACTACTCTACAAAATAGCAAAAATCCTATCAATCAGAATTACAGGACAATCATGATGGCCGGCCGCCTATGGTACACCACTGAACCACTTATCGTGCAATAACTGCTTTGCAGTTGGACGATCCCTAGGGTCCCGCTTCATAACCTTCAACAGAAACTCCCTGTCCTCCTCTGTCAGACAGTCGTCCTCGATTAGTTTAAAAGGCATTTGCTTCTGATTGTCCTTGATGTATTGGGTGGCTGAGACTAGAATTGACCATCTGTCACCGTCCTCTCTCGGAATGAGATCTATATAAGACTTTGGAACAGGACCAAAGTGGGCTAGTTGTCTTATAATGATGTGGATTAGATACTCTTCATCATCAGCTGTGGCGTCTTTGGGATCGGGCTTGAACATGTGCCAGTTAAGTCCCCAAATAAGACTTATAAGCTATGTAAACGTAAGCCTAATTTAGACAATATAATCTCAAACCTGCTTAGTATCACGTACCGTCGCGCCAAATGGCCAAATGTCAGTCGACTGTCCCCATCTGAGCTGCATCATGACCTCAGGGCTTCTGAAGATAGCAGCGCCTACATGCGGTCCATCCATCCCGACCTTGAGGTAATTCTTGGGTCTATCCGAGTAACATCACCGAAATCGGCTAGTTGGACATCTGCAAAGCGAGACGATCCCGTGCTATAATTGACGAGAATGTTGTCCGGTTTGATATCTGTAAATATATGTGTTAGTTACAGTCTCGAGATCTTATATGAGGTGGCATATAAAATCTCAGTGAACATACCAGTATGTGTGCCCATTTTCATGCAAAGCCTGAATTGCTTGGAGTACTCTTTTTGCCACAAACTTCACATCCGAACTTTCTAAGGTCTTTATACCTGATGTATGTAATAGATTGTCGTCCAAGTGTTGCAGAATCAAAGATGGAGGATTTTTGGTTTCGTCTAGCACCTGACGTATGTATGGGCAAGTGCGGAAATGCTTCAGAACATCCTGCTCGTTTTCGAGTCTTCCTAGTGGAGCTGTCTTGATAATAAATTTTCCAGCTTGACAGTTCCTTTTCCTGGCCGTAATTAGATATGTGAACGTTGAGTTGGATGAAGCTTGATCTCACGTAGCAGTCCAGATGTTTTTCGCGACTTGGGCAGAGACAAAATAACTTCCAACTTTTCCATCGAGGCGTTGGCCAATGTTGATGCAAGCAGCCATCTTTGAATTGTCTCTCTTACGTTGGAAGGAACGGCCAAAGGTTTGATGGCGAGAGTTCGGGCGTGATGAAGGACTCCTAGGTTCAATCTAAATTGCTATGTATAGGCCTTCAAGTTTTGATATAACTAATCATACTAGTATATCTAATGAAATATTATTATTATTAGTAAACAAAATTATTTTAGTTTATATATATAGATATAAATTATCTTGATTATATATAGTA